GTTAAACTAATACCCGATATATGTACAAATATAAAAACTTCGCTACTAATGCGAGTATGGACTCATATAAGCAAAGAGGACTGACAAAGGCGTGTTCCGTTACTACCAGTAATAACAACAAACATGCGAATGACTTCCGTCATACCTGTACGTGAAGAAGCCAGTGCACTTGTGTTGAATACAAATTGGTTCAACTGATAGGCTCAATTTGGGATAGGCGAGATCCAATAGACCGTATGAATCACCTGGAGGGGGACAGGATTCGTGGAGCCAATGCAAGTGACTTAGTAATCATAAACAAGGCTCAGCCCTTGTATCGAGCAGTCTAGATACGAGCTATTGGCCTTCATCGAAAGGGTACATGTGATTTTTAGGACTGCAGTTAAAAATCACCTTCTATTAATTAACGAACGGCTAACAGTACAACGCACGATGCTATTCTTATACTTACATTGGGGCTTATACATCGACTTGGGACATTATTCTGTTAATCATTCTTAATACCATGCGCTTTGTTTTTCTATAAATAAACTTTTTTTTTGTACGACAAGCGCGCACAAGGATAGCTAATCCCTTGCCGCATAAGCGTCGCAAAAAGGAATTGGTTAATGAAACACAAATGAGAGCTTCAGTGTGCTCCATAGCATAGCATTTTACATGCAGAAGCAATACGGCGCGCGTCAGAACCGGAATGCCGTGACACTCTCGGTTCTTTACGCGCATATGATTTTGGTCAATTTAATCGGGTGCTGAAATATTAAAAATCCGGCTTATGAGGCGTTATTTCGACGGTCGGGACCGATCGGCTAACGCTTATAAACGAAAAAAACGCGCTCCAGAGTGTTACTTACCGTTTATCATAACGTAAGATACGGTTACTCTGAAGCTATAAATACTGAGGTAAGGTCAATGCAGAAGTTGTACTATAGGTATAATCAGCATATATGTTATATATTCCTAGAGCCCCTGACTGACGCGCAAACAGTTATGCATACATAGCGCTCATTACATCAAGAACAAAATACATCTAAGCATAGTGGGTAAGCGGCTACCTTCGCTGGTGACGATGACCGTTCACGTCCGACGAGAAGCAAGTCGGCGACAAATCCTTTCATACCCTCCTAGTGGCATGCGGACCGTCGGATCGTGTATCTGATGTCGTTACAATTTGGAAGCAGCAACGATGGTCGCTTCTCGCTCTACACGTACGATTCCTCTGGCCGCTGAGAGCACAGCAATAGGTGTCGATCGTGACGTAAAGAAACAGATCTCATTTCAGGGAGAGGCCATGGCGCCAGGGCCCCTATCTGGCTGACTAGTACGGGACGCCCCGCCTTGAAGCCTCACCCTTGTCTCGATGAGAGCGCGGGTTGAGGAGATTGTGCTCCAAGCGAGATGGGCGCATGTAACCCTGCAGGTTGTCGACGGGGCTGGCAACGCAGCAGGAAGAGCGAAATGCTCCACGACGGACAAGCTGCAAGTCTTCACTGTTCAGCGGCTTCAAGGCGAGGAACAACGACGAACGAAGGCATTCCAATATAGAAGACAGAAAAAAACAGGGACAAACGTGCACTCCTACGAACCTATGTGTGGGGACGACTAGATGAAATGGACCGGTTGTGGTGGTAAGAGACGGAAAGTGTTTGTGAGAAGGGGGCTTAGGAGCGCGCATAGGATGGCTAAAGGTAGCTTGCTGGCAAGGGGGCTGGTAGTCAGGGGCTGCGTCCTATTCTCAGAAAAAAAAAAGAGAAGGATACCTAGAAGCAGCAGAAAGAGGACTGACTGCCTGTCTAGCTGGCAGCACAGGCTGTCTGCCCGGCACGTCTGCCTAACCAGAAACCTCTACAGCTCTTCCTGCCGCCGCTGCTATTGTTCGGAAGAGCGGTGCGATGTCAGCAAAGCTGCTAGCCACTAGAGCAGGTTTATGGCTGCTGCGGCGCTCAGCGCGTTCAAAGCATCCTGAACTGCCTTTGTATTCCACCACGGCCGTTTCAGCCCCTCCGCCAGCTACCAGCAGCTAACAGCAACATTTAGGGGCGGCCGGCAGAGAAGAAGGAAAACCACTAAGACGAGAAAAGTTCGAGGCAAATCCTAGGGGCAAACCGAAAGGGGCCAAAGCATTAGCGAAGGCAAGCGCCCGGGAACCGACTTTGCGAAACAGGGAGCCTTCATCGTTCGTTCACGCAAGCGGGAAGTTAGGTGGAAAGCAGAAGATAGTGGCTGCGCAAAGAGGGTCGGGGTTGGGCAGGCGATATCGAGCCAAGCGAAAGGCAAAGCGGAACAAGATGGAGGAAAGACAATGCTCGTAAATTCTATACAGTATCATCATCATCATCATAACATCTTATTGAATAGCCCATCTGCACTAGGATGGCAGAGCGCGACAAAAGGGCAGAGCGGACCATGGCGCGAAAACGGTGGGGCATAGCGCGGAGTATTGTCAATACTGGGTTCTGCTGAGTGGGTGGTGCTGCACCAGCAACGGATGTCTGTAGCCTGCATTTTTTGGTACCTACAGGTCGCCTGCATCGTTGGATGGAAAGCGCTTTTTCAGAAGAAGACAAAAAATAGAAGGAGATTGGCTGGATAGCTGGCGGGGTCTCAGGAACAGCCGCTGCCACCGCTAGTGAAGCTTCTTCGGGGCCAGCCTGTGCCCTTTCCCAGGTTGCTTGCCTGCTGGCCTATTTGTCGGTGCTTGTTTTACAACAGTAGTAGCGGCACTGGAATGAGAAAAAAGCGGTAGGAACGGCTGTGTTACTGAGAAGAAGATGAAAAGAACAAGAAGAGAGACAACTGAAGCAGTCGAGCAGACGTAACCCCTGCCATGCCATTGGATCGTGGAGAAGGCCGCGTAAAAACACCGCTGCAACTACTATGACATTGCTGATACTACGCCACTATGAACGCGAGAGATGTAGCAGCAGGATCCAGCAGTAACGGCGGCAGCAGCGGCCGATTCTGCAGACAGGCTCAGTTTGGCAGGGCGGCAGTCCGCGATGGGAAAAATATAAAACGATGAACAAAATAAGAGAGCAAGACCCTGTATCCGCAAATGCAGGGGCTGACGAAGAAAGATGCAAAGAGGGAGGGTCGCAAAATGGCCGCTGCATAGCCGCTATCGCATAGAGGACGCGACCACAGTCGTCGACGTAAATTTTGAGCGGAAGAGTGGTTACGGAGCGCCTGAAGGGTTGGTCAGAGAGCCGGAGAACAGCGGAGTTTGAAAGGAAGCCTATAGTTGCCAACCAGCAGCGACACGAAGGAGAAGAATTGGGAGTGCTGAACGTTATTCAGAGTAGATGACGTTGCGTCGTCACCACCTTTGCGGCCGGTAAAGGAACATGCTAGATGTTAGGGAGTGATTCGGGGTCTTTAGCTAGTCTGGTTGAGGCAATGGACTGAACTTCAACGAGGCATCCTAATCGGCCCAGTGATAATGGCAGACGACGGCGATGGAGAGAAAATGCAAATAACAATAATAACAAAGGCTGAGCTGTCAAATGGTAAAAGGTTTGCCTGGATTATCGAAAGAACTACGACGTTTAAGAGCCAGCAAAATTATTCCATAGAAGAATAACGTAAAATCTTTAGCAAACAAATGTACACCACTGAAACAAGGTGGTGAGACTATAAATCGGCGTTTTGTACATACATTATTAGAATAAGAACCTATTTCGTTCAGGGTAAAGGGTTGCACTTGAGAGGTGTTGAACTTACCCAGATCATGTAGGATAGCAACATTAGCTATGTACAGCTTAGTGCAGTTTGGTATATCCCAGCTCTACGAGCACAAACTGAACTACCTAAGATTATGTGGTACCGCTTTGATATGGAATTTTTGCGCCGTTATAAGGACAGGTATGTATTGAAGGCAGCAGTAACGCTAAATGGTAATAATAATAATAATGATTATATAATAGAAAGATAGAGTGAAAAACGGTAAGATGAAAAGTAATTGCTTAGAGTTACATTGTTGTTGAGTTGCCTATATGATACGGCAATGCTATAAGTTTAAGAGGTTAAAAAAAAACAACCGAGAAAACACACGCATACGTTCACACTTCTAAATGCATTGGATAAAGATATAATTAAATAAAGCAATAATTTAAAGAACGAACACTATCTATCTGTCTATTTGCATAGAATCATTGGTTATTTAATATGATAGTTTTTCACCTTAGGCCAATATATATCGGTTGAAGACTAATCGATGGAAGATCAAAATTACTATTGGTAGATCTTACGTGGAAGCATTAGGCGGCGCCAAAGAAGACAAAATAGAGAGAGAGTAGTCGACTTGTTGGGTGCAGTGAGATGTAGGTTCCAAAAACGCAGGGACTTCAAAGGGCAACCCCACTAGGTCAAGGTCTGGAGGGAGCCGCAGTTGAACGAAAGTGTGAGCTCCTGCATCACAACCGGCACCTTGCCAAACAACAGGTCTTTATGACCATTGAGTCCTGCAGAACCTACAGGCCTACTGCATGTTTTCTAAATCCCCATCAGTAAGCCAAAAATGGTAGAATTGCAAAACTTACGGTTCTAAAAAAAACGTGAGATCGAAGAGGAGCTTCATACATATTATTACCTCCATTATTCCTCGCACTCACACGGTGTTATGATGGCAACAACAAAATAAAACACATGACTTACTAAATTTTTTTTTTCTAGTTAAAGATCGAAACGTTCTGTTTCTCGCGCGAACAAAGTGACTGTTTAAAGTGACACAACATTTTATTATCATCGAAACTATTCAATGTAAACTACTGGCTGCATTGACTAGGACTATGAATTTGGTGGCAGCGCCTCATAATCGATAAAGTATTTTTCTGCAAAACTCATCTACAAAGACTATTCGGCTCCATTTTCGATTGGAACATAAGTTAAATTATTAGAAAATTACTTTATAATTGTGCTTCTGCGGTTGGATTCTATATATTCAAAGCAACGAAATATTTAATCTACTGATAAGCAACTATGTAATTTCCGTCTGTAAAGCGCAGGTGATGACCTGAAGTCAAAACATTGGGATGAAGTATGAAAATCGTATTACCGTCCGACGCGTTCAATGACGTTACAATACGCATAGCTATACAGCTGCGTCGTCAGATTGTAGAAGGCGTATCAATAACTGTACCTCGACGTGTGGCTATGGCGGAGCGACTCTTTGTCAGAGAATAGATCTCTTCAGATCGGCGAAAAGGTAGGACGTTATATAGTTGTGACGGCGACTGCAGTACATCATGAAGCAGATCATTTATTGAAGGCGAAGCAAGCGGATGAAGGTATCTGAAGGCGACTATTTAGGTATCGTGCTAGCTAATAGAGCTGTTGATATGGCCCTTTCTGCGGCCTCATAGCCCGGTGTATGTCTCCCACGTAACAAAAGCAACGCTCCCCTTTAATACTTTCCAATCCAACAGCGAATAGTGACCTAAAAATATTTTTTCGATGTAGTAGTGTGGTTGAGGGTTAAATCGACGCAAAGCGTATTTGGTTGATTATTTTTTCCGCCGCCGCTGTGTTAACCAGATGAGAGGTGCGTCTCAATTGGGTGGTGTCTGATCAAGTGCTTAGTAGTAGTTGTATAGGGAAAATAATAGGGAGATAATGGGCGTTTTGTGTATTCAGAGTATTCGAGGTTTAATCCAGATGCAACTAACATTCTATGAAGCAATAAACATTTCTAGGCCAAAAGTGGAACAATGTGGCTGAGTGTAGGTCGTAAGGAGAATGCAACGTACGATTATGAGATTCTGGGCTCAATCCTCAACTGACGCTCAGTCATGTCATGTCATGTCAACTAATAGACCCTATTTATAGTGGTGACCTAAAACAAAAAACGGTCACTTGCCACTAGATCAACTGCGTAATAGGGATATGACACATATCAGGCAATCCCATAGCTCCCGATTGCTAGATGGTACCCTTGCAAATACAGTCCCAATTTCGAAAACAAACTACGACACTTACGCCTCAGCAATTGTTTCACCTGTCTCAATAATTCTGCTGATTCACATATATATTGATATAATCTCAGGACACATTTAGCTAACTAGAGTTTTATGTCAGCTACTGTCAGTTGTGAATAGTACTTCTGCCTATAACTACTTCGGGGACCAACGGTAAACATATATACTATAAAACGTGAAGAAAATACGTTGTGGAGGAACGTAAAATTTTTCAGAAATGACTAATACTTTCTTTTAACCAGCCGTGTCGATGCCGCTGCCAACATCAAACTTTAACTTCTCGCTAACTCGCCTTTATCACATACGTGTACTTGCAAAGGTACAGCTCATTCTGGAACGGCGTTATGGACGACTCAAGCTATCCAATATTGACATCCAACCTCATTCATATCGTTGACTAGGAGTTTTGGCCTGCAATTAGGATACTAGAAAACAAATGATAAATATGTAACGATCTTTACATAGTCTATATTTAATTGTGATATCAGTTTCGTTTTAATGCACCGCGTATGAAAAAGATTTACTTGCATTGTATGTTTCGGCCCATGGAAAAGATTGGCAGGTGATTTCCCACGCAACGAGGAACCACAAGAATGTCGTGAGAACAATGTGCATTGGAAAATGGCTTAAGACCATGAATTTAGAGCCCGCGGACGATGTGAACAGCCAGAAAAGGCCACGCAGAGGAAATAGCAGCGCTCGTTTCGGAGACGATTGTCAGCCTAGCTGCGGCTACTCATGCCATTCTAAGCCGTAAAAGCAGTAAAAACGAGAGATAGCCGCTGGATAGAAAGATCCACTCATGCGTGCTATACGTCGACCTACTGATCATGAATGGAAACGATGACATCAACAGTATAGGATTGAAGAGGTGGCAAGACACATGTATCATGGTCGGCGTCCCGTTCGCGAATCTTCGACGCCTTCGAGGTATTGCTTTACCCCCTATTGTTGTTCATCATTGCCGTTCTTGGCTTTGCCGCTGATGGCTAAACTCGACTGTTGTTATGTCCTGCATGCCCAGTAAAGCGCTTGTTAATCCCTTTAACGGACAGCAGGTCCGCATAGGCAATCTGTAAATGCCTACACGTAGATAGATATACTTATAGACGGATGCATCTTGCGTACACACTTCGCGAATTGTCGGTTACAGGGCATCAACAGTTACCGGCCAGCGAAGCAGAAACAATGGTTCGAACATGTGGTCGAGGCGACAATGTTGCGACACATCGATTCGCTCGACAACGACAGCTCTTAAGACTACTACCACGAATGATGCTTAGACATGTTGCAAAAGGGTGACCAAAAATAGGCAACAGTCAGGACTGTGACGCCCGCTATTGTCACTAGCCGCAGACCTATAAGAACCGTCTCTCGTCGAACCAGACTTCATTGTAGAAAAATCTACAATTCTTAGCTACTAGTTGTGAAATATATCAAAGATATGGTTGCAGGTGAAATATATCAAATGTTAGGTTACAGACATGACCTAAACTATTGCTTCTTCACGTAACGAAGTTCGCTCACAAAAAGGCGTCTACCTATTTTAAAATCGCTCAAATATTTGGGGTCTAATATCAATATCGTTCAATGAAGATGGCAAAAAAAAAATCAACGCTGCTGAATTAACTCTAGCTTTGTATCTCTACATCTGATGCTACTAGTTGATCAGTGGCAAAATGTCAGCTGAATAGGAGTTGGACCGCCTACCTAGCTAAACATTTCGGAGACTGCGTCGCCATGACGACGCGCGCGCGTTTCATGGCTTTCGCATAAGTAATCGTGTTTACGCAGACTGGGCCAGAAGTTGTTAGACTTCCCAGCTCAAGGAGGTCAAGAAAAAATGCATTGACTTGATATAATGAGCATAAACGGCTCTAACATTTTTACGTTAATAGAGTTCTAATAAAATACTCAGAACTCCCTACAGCGGATTCGTTGTAACCATTCTGAAATTATTCCGTATGCGTTAAAAACTGAATACAATGGGTGATTAGGCGGTCTCTATTGAAACAAATGATTAACACGCAGTTTATAGTCGTGAGGCTTAACGTTGTTGTTGTTGCGTATTCAATAGGCCTCCTTGGCCTGAGATGCGAGCAATGTACTATGCATATAATACACTTTATCCATATGACTTCGTGTCATGTTGAAATCCTCTGGTAGATGTCCTTGTTCAAGGTGAGTGATGTTTTTGCTTGGCAACTTTGATAAATAAACCTTTAAAGTAATTAACAAATATATTGCTATAATTTTACACATTACAGAATACAATAGTTGGATTATTGTTTCTGTGTACGTTACTTGTGTAACGTGAACGGTCAGACAATCCTAACTTAAATAGTAAACGGAAATGTTAATTCAAGCACTGAATGCCTGCCAAGATCTGCTGACTTTGGTGTGTCCTAACAGCATTAGGAAAAAAAAAGCTAAAAATCAAGCCTTAATTCAATTTACCAGTTAAGTCTGCATGGTAACTCCATTGCGTTTATGAATTATTCCTCTTAATAAGCACCTGCATAAGTCTGAGCGTACTGTGTGCAGCGCACGAAGTGCATCGACAAGTAGGGCTACTAAGTTCTGATCGCAGTTCGCCAAATCAAAGATCCTTATCAGCGACGCTTTAACCTAGTTAGAAAAAATTTGTCGAATTATGACACGAGGATACTAGATATCGCCAGGAATTCTCACTAAATACGAAGACAAGTCACGGCAGCTCTGAAGTCGATACACCATCCTATTATACCGCACCGCATTTTACGTATTCTATGTATATATATCCGTATGACATTTGTGAAAACAGTGAGTTGCTTTCAGCGTAGAGTGCATCAGGGCAATCAATGCTTTATTAACCATCTGGCACGTAACGGAGTCCGATTATTCTCACTTTTCTTATATATACACATATAACTTTCGAGCTACGAGTGAGATTTGGCAGGTCTTTCTTGTGAGAAAAAGCAATTGATTTTATCCTAGAGGAAATTAGTTTAAAAGGAAAAATATCTTCCGGTCTCAGAAATCAACGTTAATTGCTCAAGTTTTGGTTTTTCGAAAACTATAGCGCTGCAAAAGTACGTTAGGGATTAGTGAAGAAGTCTCAAGCGAAAGCACAATGCGTGAATGGTGCGTATACTTTAAGGACGAAGGGTCGAGTGTTGAAGAGCGTCGAGGAGGTAAGTGACAAGATGTCGGAACCCGAAGGACAACATCGCAATACCTCAATCGAAGAAACTTTCTACGGAGGAGTCTAAGAGTTAGCACTTCACATGAAACATGTTACAGAATTAAAACTCACATGCTAAAATTCAAAATGTATGAGTAAAAAATGAGTCTGTTCTAAATTGACTTCAAACGAGTTTGAATTGTTCCACATGCAATGTGCCATAGATAAGGCATAATTCAATACATATTACAGACCCGAGAGGAACCAGGCAAAAGAATGGCATCTCCTTGGAGTTTTGTGGCGGTGCCGAGTAGGTAATTCGGATGCAAGGTGATGATAGTGCTTACGATTCATATTAGAAGCATCTGCCATTATGAAATTGTTGCCGAAAATAAATCAATGGATGCAGCTCATCATTACGAGTTTTTCAAGCAACTCATGGACCGTTAGTACGGCAACCGAAAGCAACGCCGTCTGATTGCTCGATGATAATGACAAACCTCGTCGCTATGCCTCAATCTCATCTTGGATTGAGCAAAGGAATGTCCGATGTTCACTTCAAACGACTCATCCTTCTGACCTGGGCCCGTGTAATTATGGGCCTTTCTATGCCTTAAAAAATCAGGGTGGTGGGTAGGTGTAATCTACTATCGACTAACTCCGAGAAGTCAAAGAGAAATACATAAAAAAAAAAAACGAGAATAGTGGGCATGTGGCTATTTAGAAGCTGCTAGAACACTGGAACAGGTGTGTAAAAAACAAAGAAAAGTATTGAAAAATCACCGTTCTAACCCAACTAACTCCGAAGTTATTCAATTGAGAGTTCATCAAATTCACTTGTAGCCGCCTTCAGTCTACCACTAAAAAGGTTTAAAGGTTCAAACCTCATTCAACCCTGTCCAATAATTTTGGCATGGAAAATACAGAAATCGAATTGTATAGCGGACTCGGATATTTATTTAATCAAGACTTCAACTAAATAGTACTCAGGTCTGGTTAGTAGCTCACACGTTCATCGCCGGTATCGGTTTGTTGCGGAGATGTTTTCTTTTATAATATTCTTCCCTTTAATGACACGAAAAAATTACGCATCATGTTCCGCAAATAGGATGGAGTGAATTGTCTTTTTTAAGGCCGCTATAGTACCTGAGCAAAAGAAAATAAAACTAGAAAAAAAAAAAAAAAAAAAAACGATTTTTACTATTTAGGAAAGCTTGTCTTAAATTGCGAGAATCGACATGCAGCTCTAAAGAGTACTTTAGCAGAGTAACACCATCCATATTGGTGTCATTTTTCTATATTCTAAAATAAAAGTAAAAAGCTTGTATACAGACAATGACCATGCTTTGAAACATTGCGAATGGTTTTTGTTTTTTTTTTTCTATTTGAGTTGTGTGAATAACAAAAATATAGTGTTAACCACGATATGCCTGGCAAAAATCTATATATTAGAAAATATATTAAAAAAGTCTCACGTAGACATATGTAAACAGCTGCAAATGGACCTCTTCGGCCAGCTATCTCTACAGCGGTTGAAAATTTTTGAAATGTCCAAATGCAAAAATATCTTACCCTTTCTCAACTCTACACAACAGACATAAAATTTATTTATAATAATATCATTTTATTTTTCATTTGGTACCATGAATTAAAATATGGCACTTTATCAAAACAACTGTTAAGGCCCTGAAAATGTTATCTTTTTAGTTTATACAGCGTCCTGATACTTAAACCTAACCTTGACAGGTGAAGTTAGTTTCACCTTGAAATGGCGGAGTAACCATCAGAAAATATTTGGTCAGCTGAGAACGAGTGATGTACTTCTCTGCCGTTCGAGCATCGGCTCACCGGGTGACACAGAAAAATTATATACCCCTCATAAGGTCACACAATAAAGATGCTAGTACAAAGTTTCGATTACGATAAGTTTGTGTAATCGAAACCTTACTTAGGTAAGCTGGAACAGAACTGATGTCATTACTAAGTTGAATTTCTAGAAGAACAGAGTCATGAGATGACTCGGATAAAGCCGTGCATTTGCTGAAAAAGATTACTCAGAAAATAGCAACGGTGATAGGATAACAGGCACAACATTAATGGAGCGACAGGCCAGTTCCAATGCAACGGAAGAACCTCCTAACGCATTACCTAGTTGTGTCCCGAGTTATGTGTTCGGGTTAATAGATTGATTTAGGCCGAAAAAACCCATTTTAAATTGATATAAGTAGCAGGCTAGTGCTAAATAGTCTGCGACGTGCCGCATCAAACACGACAGGAATAGTTGCACGAGCCTCGGTACTCAGAGGTAAACGTGCACGGATGTTGTGCATGCATTAAGCGGTCCACCAGTAGGCACGCTGAGCGGCGACAGTCTATCGATGGTGAAGTTTGTCTCTATCATGATCGTTATTGCGCTCAGGATATTCGAGGACCTTTTCATGGTAAAGCGAACGCATGAACCTGAAACTCAAGCACCTTGTCGCTAATTATATAGTCAATTTCATAGATATTTCAAACGGCTCCTTACCGAATCCGTTGCAGTAAAAACACAGTTCATAATTTACCCCGCATACCGTATACAATATTGATTTGTTTTCGTATTGCTATGTAGAAAGAACTTTCCTCGAGAAGTTTCGCTTTTGAACGATGCGTGGATGCATTTACATATACAGACACGCGTTGTACCTATGAGAAAAGAAAAAGAGGACTTCACGTCTTGTCTGGCTGGCATGCGTGCATGTATGTATGTATGTATGTATGTGCGTGATGACGACCGTTGGATCCATTAAGTGGTGAATTCGTATCTTATATGAGTACGTTACCCGTGTGTATGTTTCTGAACGCAGCAAATCATGAGCTCCATGTTAGAAAGACGCGACTAATGACATATCTCTTCGGGTAAATGTGGAAAAGGCCGGTTGAGAGGTATGCAACGCCGACGCTATGCACGATGTCTCGCGGGGAATTGATGCTCCTTTTTCCAGCAACATTGATACAACAATATGCTCAACATTGAGTTGAGCGATCCATCGCGAACCAAGCCTGCTCCGAAAATTTATTTCGTGAGAGCCATTCGCTATGTATCAGCAGTTTTCCCGTATCTATCAACTCCGTCGTGTTTATCGATGCTTGACATACCTAGGTCGAACCAGACGAACCAGAACAGAAAACGGAAGGGAAGCTTTATATAAGATGGTAAAAGGAAAAACACTTAAGGATCGTGTCGTTTGCTTCATATCAGTTAATTTAAATGGTACCAGTCTACGTGACACCGTTACGAAAGTGTCGATATTATCATTTTTTTTAAGTTTTATCTGATGTAGGCGCATTTTCGTAACGGCGGTCTGAGTTGAAAATATCGGTTCTGCTGTGGTTATGAGCCGGGTAGGGGACTGACAGTGCGAACAGGGGGATGGCGTTGTTCAGTTCAATAAAATTGGTCCACAATTAAGATATATACAATAATATTAACAATAAATGGAAATCTTTTTTACTCATACTAATTATATAGTACGTATGCGTCGTTGATGTGATCCAACGCGACGACCACTAATCACTCTTGAGCCGGCCGTCCATGTATTTAACATACGCGCCATAGATACACACATTGCTTCATACAATTCGATTCGTGAACAGCTATTCGATGAAAATTAACCTGTAGCAGACGACACTTAATCGTAAATACGCAACAGGCGAACATGTAGATCCAAAATGGCTTAAAGGCGTAGAGAATATCACAAAAAAAGCAAGATGTCGGAAATCAACCAAACTCATCAAGCCAGTGCCGACGCACGATCAGCAGAAACTGAATATACACAATTACATAGCTATCTACATATCAAAAGCTACTTAAGTACACAAAGGGACTTTGAGTGAATTTACTAATTGCCTAACAATAAAGGTACATTGCAGGACAGCGTAGCTTTATCCTGAAGCGTAATTTAGCCAAAGATATCCGGATATAATTACCTTTCGTGAAGAGAAAGTATTATCCTATCGAAACGCCTGAACAAACAGAGTTATGGC